TATTGTTACGTTCAAAGGTAGGTTAATCATGTTGTTGTCAAAGCCATGGAATCTGAATCAGGCATGCCTATCAACTTTTTTGAATACAAAGCAATCTGTGTATTCGTTTTAATACAAAAAAATCTCCCTAAAACATCGTTTGAATACAAAAAATGTATATTCGTTTTAACTCTGTTTCAATACAAAACAATTTGAAGAGTTGCAGATTTTTGGGTATGATTGTGTGGCCCTGTTTTTAAAAGTTGATTGAAGCGTACAATTAACAGTTGCTACTGGCACCTTCTTCATCTGCATAATTCCAGTTGCTACTGTCACCTTCTTCATCTGCATAATTCTTGCTTTCTGTTTAAGTTCTTCGTTTTTTGTTCTTTGTTTACTTTGTTTAATTTTAGTTCATATTTTTCTGTTGGGAAAAATTCTTATGTTTCATGTAGACATATTTTATTCATCAACGAAGCAGTCAGTAATTGAGTCCCTTTGTGGTTCCGCTACGCCTTCTGTCATCACGGTTCATCCTCCACAACAAGCCAGGAATAAAAGCTTCAAGACGTAGGATCAAGTCTTCCAAAGAGGTTTTTATTCAAGAATCAAAACGTCACAAGAGACTTTGTCGTTCGTGCAATGAGATGAGCCATTATGATCGCCGGAATTATCCCTTGAATAAATAGGATTGTTTAAGATCATGGCTTTTAGTCATCAATGTATTTTCTTTATTTTTACCACAGTGAATGTACACTGTTAACCAATTTTGTTAATGAATATTGTTTTATTTTTTATAATATGCATCACGTTCATACCTTTACTGCATTGTACACATCATTTGTATGCATATTTGAATACATTGATGTGCAACATGTAGTTGTACATTAGCCACGACTAATTGTATTACATTTAATTTCTTTCTCCATACTTTTGTGCATTCTCATACTTTTTTTATTAGTAAATACACATAAAATTATTTGTGTAACACTAAACATACATATTCAGACATCTCGCCATTTATTTATTAAAACAATTCATGAGATTTATTGACTATGAAATTTTAACTTAATTGGCACACGTGCATATTTTGAAGTGCACCTTAGATTTACAACTGGTGCATTAGTAATTATTTAAATTATAGTTTTGAACACGTACATGTTTTGAAGTTCAAGTGTTTAATGCATTGTACACATAATTTAAATGCAGATGTAAGTACAGTGATGTGCACCCTGTACTTGTACATTAGCCACCACTAATTGTATTATGTTTAATTCATTTCTCCATACTTTGTTGCTTTCTCATAATTGTTTTTATTAGTAAATACACATACAAATACTTTTAGAAAACTAAATGTACACATTCACACATCTCACCATTTATTGACTACATAAATCCATAAGATTTATTGACTATGTAATTATAACTTAATTTGCACACGAACATACTTTGAAGTGCATCCTACATACTTAATATTCTCATATATATGCATACTTTTCCAAATTCAGGGTAAAACTATACCCACACCATAATCCTATTTTATATTATATACCCAAACGTATAGTGATGCATACTATTGTTCATTGCAGTGCATCATACCAGTTTTAAAGATGCAAGTAAACTCACCAAAATTTATTCAACTAAAATAAGTGTTTGTGTTGCACATTCATGAAACAATCAACATAATACGATATGTCATGAACAATGTTTCATTACTAACATCATGTAATATCAAATAATTATGTGTTATATCGCGGTTTATGAAATTAGTAAATGCATTTCATAGTATGTATTGCTGCATTTTATAGACTGCCTCTTTGCATAATAAAGATAAATGTAGTAACTCTTTTGATTTGTATCAATAAATTTATTATGCATACAATATGCATCTTATATATCACAATGGTGCATCATCATATGCTATGTAATGCATAGTTCACTATGTCTTTCCAAAGTGTTAACGTTGTTGAACTAACCTATTCATCCAAACTCATATAACACTTAATATCATCCAAAACATATATGCTCATACACCACTTCAACAATAATAAACCGACATTGAGAAATGCCTTCAAACTTCATTGTCAAAATATATTCACACATGACATGAAAAAAATGCTCATATATATGCATACTTTTCCAAATTCAAGGTAACACTATACCCACACCATAGTTCTATTTTATCCCAAACGTATAGTGATGCATACAAGTTGTTAAGATGCATATAAACTCATACTAAAATTCATTCAACCAAAATAAGTCTTTGATTGTTATTAAACTTAGAGATTGCATGTACGATCACATTGGGTGATGGTCTATTGTACAAGCTTTTATATTGCTCCTTCATCTCCTTAAAACAACCATTCTTCTACAACTTCTTTCATTGTCATTCACACCTGCAATTTTCAGCTTGTCATTTATTACTCTTTCGGCCTTATTCATTCTTCCGCTTCTCTTTCTCTTCATGCTTACTCCCAGTTTTCCCCTATCTATTCTAGCAATCTCAACAACTGCATAGTTACCACAAAATAAATGCATTACTAGATATCAATAGCAATGTATGTAAATAAATTCCAAAACAAATTATTCTTCTACTACTGCTTTCATGTGTAATTGTAATGCTTACCTTGTACTGCTTTCTTTCTTTTGTTGTCATTCAGCTCTTTCTAATTCATCTGGCTAGATATTCACTCTTCTTTGCACCTTTTTTTACAACTGTACGTTATACTCCTAATGTTATAAGAAGTATTAAATTTAGACTTACAGAATGTGAACGGCATCTTATTTGTAAACAAATTGTTTTCCAACCTTTATAGTTTTTCTTTGCCCCTTTGACCTTTTTGTTGTGTTTCGTGTTAGTAGAGGATGCACTTTCTTGCTTTCTTTTTTTTGCTACTGTTTGTTCCTCTTCTATTGTGTGTAAATGTAATTGTTTAGCAAACATATGTTCATAGAAACCACATTCATTAATAAGTAATGAATTATAGATTTGTTATGATGCATTGTGACTATATTACACTTGCATGTAAAAGCTAAACTTTATGCATACCCGAAGCTGAAATTTACAAACACATTTATGTGGGATTTCAACCACAAGATTTCATTGTTACTAAATACACAGGACAACGAATACATGTCATACTGCATCTAAAGTCCTTAACAACGACATGATAACCATTAACCTCCTGCATCTGACATCCTTAGCAAATTCTGAATACCATTACCAAAAAACATGCACTTTGCATCTAAATCAATTGCATATTCTCAACTATAAGTCTATAACTACTGCATCTTCCAAGTATAACTACTGCATCTTACTTATCATCGCCCTCTTACTTCCCTATTGCAATACTCCTGCATCTACAAATATAATTACTGCATCTTACTTCCGTTCACATAAACAGTTACAAAATCCTTACATCTAACATATTCAATAACTGCATCTTACATCATTTTTAAAGTCCAAATTCAATCATATATAAGTGATCTACATTCCATAATTTCAAACCTGTTGCATCAAATTCTTTCAAAGATGCATCCATATTGAACAAACCAAAGAGTAACATGAGTACCTTCATCAAGCTCATTTTGTATTTCACGCAACAGGTGCTCCATTTATAGCGAATTGATGGCTTTCTATCGTCATTACCTTGCCTTCCCTAAAATTCGATTATGTACTCGATTAAAAACCTTGTTGCAAACTTTGAAATTGATTGTGCCTGTTTTTAATCGCCGAAGTGTTTCAAGTTTCCTTTTTGGCCGTCGCTAATCGTGGTCGTTTACCATGGATAGAGGCCATTAAGCATAAAATCAGGGTTTACCAAAGTTAATATCGATTTAGTTTTCACGGTCTTCTATTCTGGCTTGTTAAATGACTAACGTGACCTTTTACATTCAATGCTCGCTTAGATGTGGTTTTACGTTTGGTTTTACGTTTGTAATCCCCTATGTGTGAGTGCGGTAATTTAATTATGCATCCCATATGATATTGGTGTCATATGAAAGATAATACAAAGCTATGAATTTTGATATAGTTTTTGGAAAAATTGGAATATAAATATAAAAGTTATATCACTTTAAAAAAGAGACTATTTCTCCTTTTTTTGCTCCAAATCGGTTGTGATGTAGGGAGTTTTTTTAAATAGCCGTGTGATGTGGGGAGTTAATTAATTGTTGGGAAAAGTACGGAAAAAGTACTTGTGGTTGAGCCCGTTTTCAGATAGGGTCATGTGTTTCATTCTTTATCAAAGTAGTTCATGTGTTTGAATTCTGTTATCACAAGAGGGTCACGCCGTTAAAAACGTCTGAAAAAGACCGTTAAAAGTAAATTCGATTTTCAAAAGTGCCCGAAAAATTAAAAGAAAAATACCAAAAGGTGCGCCTCGTCAAGATGACATCCAAACCACCTTCGCCTTTGGATTTTTCAGATCTGTTTGAATTATTTTTTTAAAATGATTTCGCTAATATCACTTTTCCGATGGACTTTCCGGTGACAATGATGGCCGATAATAAAAAAGAAAGATGGCCTAGCGGTAGTCTTATTGAGACACACCTTCCGGTATTTTCTTTTAATTTTTCGGGCACTTTTGAAAATCGAAATTATTTTTAACGGTCCTTTTCAGACGTTTTTAACGGTGTGACCCTCTTGTGATAACGGAATTCAAACACATGAACCACTTTGATAAAGAATGAAACACATGACCCTATCTGAAAATGAGGTCAACCACAAGTACTTTTTCCATACTTTTCCCTTAATTGTTTTAATTGTTGTGATAATAGAATTTGTTTTATCCAATAAAGTGACAATTGTTTTTATAGAGGAGCATGAATATTTTTACATAGACTATTTTAACTTTTAAGTATAGAATCAATCAAATCAGATCAGACCAGACATCTATTAATTCAAACCAAATTAGAAAATTTCAATATATATAAAAATATTTTATATGATTGTAATTTACAAAAAGTTCACCAAAAATGATATTCAACCAAATAAAAAGGAGTAACAGTTTTCCTTATCACTAATATTCACCATGGATTAGATGGTACAATCTCAGATGATGTAACTAAAAGTTGCTCCAAATAATCAGCCCCCAAATCTTCAAAGACCACCAGATTCTCAGCCTTGACTTCCCCTGCTTTACTGCCCTTCCTCCTCTTCCTCATGGAGTGTTTCCTCTTGAGCGCCACCACAGGAGAGCCCCCCTCCTCCATCTGACACCTCAACTCCGCCAGAGATTCCCGGACTCTCTCCACCGGAAAGTTCAACGTCGTCGCCGGTCCACGCATTGCGAAAGCCGCCTGGTCATACGCCAGAGCAGCCTCCTCTGCGCTGTCGAACGTTCCCAGCCAGACCCGTATCCCGTTCTGGGTTGAGTCCCTTATCTCCGCCGCGAACTTCCCCCACGGCCGCCGCCGAACCCCGCGGTACGACCGCTCCGGCGCCTCCGTCGGAATTCCCGGAGAACCGGCCCCAAAGTTTTCTTGATCAGCTGAAGCCTGCTCTGCTAGGACTCCGAAAAGTAACATTTCTTCGGAGTCGTTAAGGTTGAAAGGGAGAGAAACCTCGGAGTTTTGGGGTTGGGAGTCCGACCATGAAGATTCCGGTGAGAAGGAAGAGGACATCCTAGATTCCTAGTACTACGTATCTATTTCTCCGGTGCTTCCTAATGTATGTGCTCTGTTTTTGGAATTTGTGTGCTTTAAGGAAATGGAAGGGTGACTAAATGGTGTGGTGGTAGAAGAACGTCTTTGACAGACCTATTTATACATGATAATTTAAGGTGAAAGGGCAGAGGATATAGAGGGCGAATCATCAAAATTTGACAAGTTTGCTGCCTTGTCAAAAAAGATAAATTTTATCTTTGACATTTTTTTGAGTATAAAAAAATGACTTTTTATATTAATATCAAAAAAACAGCTTTCAAAAAAATATTAATATAAAAAAATAATACAAGACAATCTTAAGATGGTTATGATAGAGTCGATCTTAAACTTTAGAAATAAACATAGAATGAGTCACCTTTATACAAAGCAACATACGGTATATCTCTATATACAAAATGGGTAAACTTAAGCCTAAAACAATCGGAACTGATACACCGCATATCAAAAGTACTCCAGAAATCAAAACAATCAAATCAAACCTACTCAAAGTAAAATAAAAATAAGTACTACTAAAGAAAAAATAAAATTGAAACAAAGTGTTTCCACCAAACTCTTCCTGACACGGAGGTGATTTTGGAGGAGGACGAGCTCTACCATTTTCTACGTAGCTCAAAAGAACGCAGATAGAAACCCTTGAGCAGACAAAGTTGGTCTAGACACCAAAACAACTCCCCACATCGAGGGAGACAAAATAATCCGGAGCGCTAGTGCCTGAGAAAAAAACTGTCATAGCACAAGACAAACACAATCAGAAAAGAAAAGTAGTCCATTTAATCATACCCCTTACCGAGAATCTCCGAGAACAAGACATGAGATCCGTTACTTACTTGGATGCGTCATCAGTGCTCTTTTTGCTGCGTCGAAACAGGGGAGAAAATAGTCTTTTACCACGAAGGATTGAACGTTGGGCGCGCCGCAATTGTAGGGTTTCTCAACACCCCAACTTGTATTTTATCTTGACATTTTTAAAACACCTCATAGATAAAGTGCTTGAGATCAAATTAGCACTATTTTAATAATTCAAATGTAAATCACTAGAGTCTTTTATCACAGTTTGAGTTGGGTTGGTAACCTATGTTTTCATTACCTCATCAATCAATTTTTCTATTAAACAAACACGTAGCGCTTATCTTATAGAATTTGATGAAATTTATGAAATTCTTGCTGAAATGATGAATGAGTTAAATATGCTGAATTATGAAAAAATTGAAAGACTTTTTATTGATAATTTTTTTTTGCATAATATGACTTAAATGATCATTTACAATAAGTGAGTAATTTCAACCAATTCGGGCAGAAACGTAACTTCAACCTTACTGATTTTGATTTTTACACTATTTAGCGCAATAAATCAAATGTTTCATATTCGGTAAATACAGTTGACTGACAGGGTCGATAAGTTGAAAATAAAAGTTACCATATGAGCAGGTAGTTTTTAAATTCGCACGTTAAATTGTATAATAATCTAAATAAATAAGAGTGAGGTGTCTAGTCTAGATGAATTGGTCCAAGTTGGTGCAAATGATAATTTTAACTATTTTTCATATAATATTATCACGGAAGAACCAAGGAAACACAAGGTCATCGAACTGGTTAGCGAGGATGGTGTTCAAGCAAATATGAATGTTAATGGTGCGGATCCAAAAAACCCGCAGATGACGGTGCTGTCTGGAGAGCACCGCCAGAGATCGGGAATCTTTGTGTTGTGAAAGTGCGTCCTTTGGCGAGGGCTGATCAAACCGCTTTCCCCTTGCCAGTGGCTTGAAAAACTGGATACTGTTTTCTCACAACTCTTCGGTTATTTTTTCTTTCTAGTAACGGGACTAACATTGATGTTAATGGACTCTATCACATTGTGGGATTAACAAGTTGAGCTGTTATTAAGCGTGACTCCAGCTCTGAGTCTCATCCCAGTGTAGCCTTTTATATGACGACTTTGCATCTCATTCTATTTTTTATAAGAATTAAGTTATCTTTTGCCAAGAAAAACTATTTTTTCATATAACTTTTTATTATTTTGTTAGTAAAATATGGAGTATAATTTAAATATAACATTTTCATAATTAAATAGATTCAACCAATTCAGTTATGTCAGTCAATTACAATATTCCTCAAATGGACCTATCATTTTTGTCTTGAGTTGAACTTCATTCCAATGATTTAATATGTAAATTTTATATTACTGCTGTTCGGACGATTTTCGAGAAATTTACTTTATCAATGGTTGAATATCACAAATCCAAATGAAAATTTTGACTTGGATAGAGTATAGGGAGTATTAATTTAATTAAGGGCATGTTGGCTTGGATTGAAATTTACTACTCACCACAGATGTCGAATAGTATTATATACGGAGTATTATTATCTAGTCAAACCTATTTGTACTTTCATGTTTTGTGTATGTTTATTAATTTAATTAAGGGCATGTTGGCTTGGATTGAAATTTACTTGCCTAGATCTCTTATTGTGGGCTAGTATGATAGTCCCTCTATAACATTTATATCTTCTCACTTTCTGTTTTTGCTGTAACATTCATATTTTTTCATTTTTAAATCTTCTCATCATAACCTCAATAATTTTGAAAAAATACACTATTACAACTAGGGCTGTTAACGAACCGAGCTCGTAGCGAACTATTCGAGTTCGAGCTCGGCGTCGAACCTAACGAGTCGAGCTTAACCAGCTTTCGAACTCGAACCCGAGCTGAGTTTTAAGTTCGAAAAATTAATCGAGCCGAGCTCGAGAATAGTAGTAAAATTATCTAGATATTTTAACTGTTTAACCAGATATTAATCTGCTAAATAACACACTTAGCCGTATCCAAACTTTATATACCATCATACGATTTAGTTGAATGTTTTTTTTAATTCGAGAGCTTAATTGGCTTTTAAATATAAGAGGATTTTTTTACATTTGTATAATTTTTAAACATTCGGTACTTGAGGACGCAAGGCGATTTCTTTTCTAGGGTTGCCGCAAGGCGATCTTTAACCTCGGTGTGTCCGCTATCAGATTAGCCGCGTGAGGAGCGGGGTTCGGTTTCGGACAGCCAATTTGTTATTATTGATCAGTCTGGAGGGTGGACGAAGGTGGTCGGTCAGTAGGTTATGGAGATCATCGCGGGGTGAGATCCGTCGAGGTAGATATGAGCAGCGGCGTTTCGGGAGGCGTTCGACGGGTTTAACGAAGCAGTGAAGCAGACAGATTGGTCTGTGCAGCAGCGGTTCCGGAGTTTTTAGTCGGCTTGGTAAGGCATAGAGATTTATGGAGAATATTAGGGGTGGGCAAAAGACCCGGTCCCGTTGGTCCGTTCCGGAACGTTCCGGTTCCGTTCCGAAATTGTCCCGTTAAATTCGGGACAAACTATTTTTGTCCCGTTCCGGTCCTGAACCGTTTCAAAACAAAACGGGACCGGAACAAATAAAATATGTCTCGTTCCGTCTCGTTGTCCCGAATTCAAAATTGTGGGTTAGTGAGTTTACCATCAATTCAAATACTAATGAATATTAATTAGGTATTAGTTATCAAGTATATGACCGAACTATCTTCTACATACTAAAAGGAAACTCACGTATACTCCACATGTTTCACTTCTAATAATATTGTTTGTCTTTTTTATTTTTGCAGTTTCTTAGTAGTATTGTGTGTGTTGGACTTATTATTGTTGTTACAGTTTGTTTCGTGCAACTATCCTATTAATCTACTATTTTTTGTGTTGCATTTATCGTGAAAAAATTTATGTGTTGCATTTTTAGTGTTGTAGTTTTTTGTCATTAAGTTTATTTTGGAGCTGTATTTTTTTCGCTACATTTTTTTGGGATGTCCCGAACCGTCCCGTTCTGTTCTGGTACCGGTTTAAAAGGGACAATAGCGGGACAATGTCTTGTCCCATCCCGTTCTGTCCTGTTATCCTAAATGGGCTTCAGTACCGGGATAGTCTAATTCTTGTCCCGTGCCCAACCCTAGAGAATATTGTTGATTAATACAAAAAGATGGCAATTGGTGCGGAAGAAGAAGAACTGACAAGCAATGGGAAGGTGACCGATCCGGTGATTGGCATGATAGGTTTCCAGATGAATTTTCTGGAGGATGAAATTCTATTCTATCATACTATAGCAGCTCGCCCTCCTCCGGAACCACCTCCCTGCGAGGAAGTAATTTGGAGAAAGTTTTTATTTTCGTATTATTTTTCCCTTCGCAATACTTATTTTTATTTTAGTTCGACAAGGTATGGTCGGAGTGTTTTGATTTTTGATGAACTCTTGTTAGGCAGTGTTTCATTTTCGGTCATTTTAGGCTTCTTCTTGCCCGTTTTGTGTCTAGCGAGTCATATTGCTTTGTATGAGTGACTGACTCTAAGTCTATTCCTAGGGCTTATGATCAGATATGTAATATCTGTGTGGATTTGGTGTTGCGTGTTTGCTCTATTTTAATGGAAAGCCGTTTTGATGATAAAAAAATATAAGAGGATTTTTTTTATCGTTTTACCTACTCCCTCCGGTTCTAAATTAAGTTCCTATTTTGACTTCACATATATTTAAAAATTAAATTTACTGAGGAGTAAATTTTATTGTATAGTACATTGTTGTGATACTGTTTTGCAGTATTTTGGCACTGTTTTGCACTGTTTTAGTGTAGATTTGTTTGTCAAATAAGGAAGTAAGAACTTGTTTGAGACATTCAAAAAGGAAAATAGGAATTTAATTAAGAATCGAAGGGATATTTTTTATATGAAATAATTAGAGTCGACACACCATACAGAAACAGTTAACATTAGTACTCATTTAGAAGAATAGTGAAACCGGTGGGCGTAGCTCAACTGGTAGCGAAGGAGTGCCAGAAGGGTTAGGTCCCGAGTTCGAATCCCGGCAACTGCGATGAGGGGTTACTATGCCAAAATGCATAGGGCCTCTGCAAATACCAGGGACAGAACCCCACTCTCTATCTATCAGATTGGGATTATAGTCCTATTTATATCCTCCCAACATACCGTTCGGTCGAGATTGGAGGTCCTCAAGGATGGGAAGTCGTCCTTTTTTTAGAAGAATAGTGAATATATATGTCATTATAGCGTCCCACTTGCCATATATGGAAGTCATTA